TGGTTGGTATCGGTCAGGGGTCTTCAATGTCGAGGGAGGTTGTTATGCGAAGGCTATCGATCTCACTCACGAGAATGAACCGGAGATCTTCGATGCGATTCGTTTTGGCGCGGTGAGTATCTTTGCGTATCTTTATAGTTGGTATTATACGGATCTATACAGGTCCTTGAGAATGTGGTTTTTGATGCTAGTACTAGAGTCGTGGATTATCATGATACCAGTGTGACGGAGAATACTCGATGTGCCTACCCCCTCAGCCACATACCTAATTCTATCATCCCCGCAGTGGTGAGGTTCCTAGTGGTGGCTCAGTGAGGTCGGCATGGCTACGGTCAGGTTGATAATCATCCATCTAACGTGGTCCTGCTCTGTTGTGATGCATTCGGTGTTCTACCCCCTGTCTCGGTCCTCGATCCCGACCAAGTCCAGTATTACTTCATATCGGGCTACACGGCTAAAGTGGCGGGTGAGGAAGATCTCGGCGGCGATCTTATGACGAGTTGTGATCGCTAGGTACGGAACAGGGCATCACTGAACCTACAGCGACGTTCTCCGCTTGTTTCGGAGCGCCCTTCTTGGTCTGGCATCCGGTTGTTTATGCGGAAATGCTCTCGCATAAGATCCAAAAGCACAAGTGTAAGCTCGTCCGAGTTCAACCTTCGAGCGTTTGCTACGGTGTCATCTTGATTGCTCATCAGGCACTGCATATCTCCTCAACACAGGCTGGATTGGGGGTGGTTACGGCGAGGGGAAAAGATGCAGTCTGAAGTACCTGCACTGGTCGTCGTTATATTGGCCGGCAATTCACAGCTCAGATACACACGTAAGATGATCGACGCCATGCACGATGGAACCATCAAGGCCATGCTCGAGGACGGTGAAGACAATTTTGATACTCTCCCGTTATTCAATTTGAAGGTATTTGTCATCCCGCGATTATGTGATTGTATTTCTCCTCGTATAAGGTGCCGAGGTCACTCCCTGGGGTTCCGGATCATATACTATACCCGAAGGATGGTTGGGAAGATAAAGAGAAGTAAGGCTCGTGGAGGCTGGGCGTATGTGGTTGGAGTTGTGCATAGGTTTGATGCCACTCTGATGAAGTTGGCGAAGTTGTTCGAACAGAATTTCCAGGAGTACGCAGACAGATGTCCACAGTCTGTGAGAGAAGCAGGCCCTCAAGTCGAATAGGCGGGGCTCTCATGGCTGGTATGACTTTTTTATATAAGACGTTTTATGGAGCTCATCGCTCCTGAGAATATTGTAGTTCCACCGAGGATTTCCATGTGGAGACCGAGGTGCGAACAGGTCGTTGAGACAGTCGTATTTATTTGAGACTATCGTTAACGGTTGGTTTCTCAGCTGGCCAAATGCAGTTTTGAATAGTTGTCAATTAGCAGTTGTGTAGTTGAAGTCAAGATAGTGATGTCCGTGAATCCGGTGATGGGAAGTGAAACGGTTGCGGTCTATGGTCGAGGTCTCGTGGAGGAAGAAAGCGACAAATGTGGAGAACATGGCGAACTTGAGGCTGGAGGCATCTGCGAATGTGATCCCAATTGGTACCATATTCAGATTGATGATGGTTCCGTTATGTAAGGAGTAGCAGAGCCGTTCCGAAGCGTCCGGGTAGTTGTGTTGCTTTGCAGGTGGTGTTCGTATAACAACAGGGAGACCCCCGATATTCCGGGATACTACTGGAAGGAGAATGGCCTCAGTCCTGGGGAGTTCGAGGTGAGTTCCTGGTGGCGTGGTATTCGCTGAGATGATTTTATCCAGTTGTTCCCCACAAGAGACCATCTGGATGTACTCGATATGCGGTTTTGGATTTTCGGTCTGCTTATCTTCGAGTGTTGGTTGCTGTGCTGGTGAGCTGTAGTTCAGCTAGGCTCTCCCATACGAACGGCTCTTGTCAGTTGTCGATTCATCCGAGACCGTTTCTGTGGCCCGAGTGTCGAGGAGGTTATTGCTCGCCTTCCGCCGGGATGTGAGATTGCCTTGCAACGGCTCGATTGGAATATGCCCCTCCATTTCTCAGACTACCGCCCGGATAAGCAGTAGACCGTTTTGGAACTATCGATGGTATGTGGAGTATCATTTTCTTGGGTGAATTCCCTCTCCTTATTTGACGACGATCGAGGGGGGTTTACAATAGGAAGTTTTGTCGTGCACTGTTCAGGTTAAGTTGTCGACTTGCATGCCTTTAAATGCAGCTTTGTGATGTGACGATAGAAGTATAAAGTATCGTGGTTACTCGTATGGCGCTGAGTTGGAAGGAGATTCTTCATTGCGATTGTTCCTAGTATATTACTTTTAGTGGCCGTCGGCCGAGTATGAGTTCAGCTAAGGATGCTACTCCCACTCCTAAGCTCAGTGATGAGGACTATGAGAAGATTCAGAAGGCGATGGATGAGGGCCGATACCCATGCAATAATGGCAATTTCAATCTCACTACTGGGAGGTGTGTATGCGACAAGAACTATGTTCATCTCGTCTACGAAGACAGAATAGAGTGAGGGTGAATTCCGTGTCGCTGTGTATGGCGTTGTCAGGATTTGTAATTACGAGGAGAGAGTAATCGGAGCGCCTTCTGCTCCAGGCTTCCACCTGGTGGATGAAACTCTCAGGCGAGGAGACCTCATCGTAAGTACAGTGAGTGGGAGTGTAGCTTGGCTTATCGGATGTGTGTCAGACTGAAGAGAAAGATCTGAAGGGTAGTTATAACCCGTTCTTGTGGATCCTCATTATAGTCGGCGTGGAGCTCGCAACGTTCCTGGTGTAGGGAAAGAGGCGCCTCTTTTTTTGGTTTGTGATACGCGAAGTAACTTGAAGTGTGTCAGGTTGAAAATGGTACGCAAGCGTTGTGTCAACTTCGTGTCGTCGAAGAAATGAAGAGCCATCTTACATACGCTGGGCTATTGGGATTGAAGTTTGTTTTTTTCAGTGAAGCGAAACTAGAATGTTACTGCATGATTTTTGTGAGGAACATGTGAACAGTAAAGTTTTCCAGATTGGCTATCCTTGTGATGGTATTGATAGCCTACGAGTTTACTCTAAAAGTTACATTTGTATTTGCCATGACATACCCCGATACTGGCGTATTGCATAGGGAGAAGTTCTATTGGGTCAAAATTGTAATACTCTGCCATTTACCTCCGCATACATTTGCTTGCTGCTTTCAGGAAGACCACGATGCATCGGCTGTACTCTTCCGCTCTCAATGGGGGTTCGTGGGATTCTTCCTTTTCGTGCAAGCCTGGTGCTTTTTGTCGTGAGTGTCTCCTGCGTGTTGCTGTTCTTTGTGATAGGAGTCTCTTATCCATCAGGTTTAAAGTTCTGCGGTTCGTATTTCGCCCGGATAAAATGAAGGATCTGCCGCCTAGAAGGCCTCTCAAGATCAAGAGTGAGCATTCCTGTTGTCGCTATTGCCCTGCATGTCTAACTCGAGTTCATCTCAGTACCCAAGCTACCCAAGCTGGCATCGTCGAATAAGGATCGTGGCTTAGAAGGCTATGGTCCGAACCCGTACACGCCTGGTATGGCATACCCCGGTCCTTCGCCCTATATGTTTGGAGCACCGATGCACCCGATGGCGCAGACCTATGCAGGGCCGGCGCCGCAGACACCCTCGCATTCGTTCGTTGGCTCATCACCCTTCTACCCTACTTATGCTCATACCGCCGGCCCTTCCTACCCTATGGCCCAGTCACAGCCTCAACTATCAGCCCCCGTTCCCCCTATGTATCAGAGCCCCTATGGCCAGGGATCGCCATATCCAATGGAAATGTCACCACAACCGCAACACTACAATACAGCGCAACAACTGCCGAGTTATGGTGGGCAGCAGTCTATGGCCGCTACGCAGTCTAACTTGTCTCCGGGATATGTTAACCCTCCTGTGGGGACGTATACTCAACCTCCCGGGTACGGCTCGCCTGGGATGTGGGGAAGTGGGACTCCCCATACAATGAGGTGTATACCAACCCAAGAGTAATCCTATTGTGTGAGCGAATGTCCTTACCTGTTCTATTCAGAGTATTGCCACCGCATGGTAGAAGTCAGAGCAGCTTCAGATAATGAAGAGTATGAAGTTCAACTGCAGTTGTGATCATCACAGTGTGATGATATC